AATCTCCTTTTATTTTTCATTATCGAAACTCTTTCGAGAACTTGGAGGGTTTCTGAAGACGATGGTTCGTAAATTACGGAAGCCTGTTGAAAAGGAAGGTTATCTTGAGAAAACATTCCGTATGATGATTTATCAGATTCTTGATAACGATTATGTCTGGCTGGGTTCCAATTATTTTGCGAACACACTGTTCGGTTCCGTGAAACGAGAATGACGAATGAGGCGAACATGTGCGACAATTATAAAAGATACTAATTTCAATAGCATTAATTGTTGCATTGTCTTTTTTACAAATATTTACACCGTTTTTAATTTTCGATTGCTGGAACCACGAAGAACATCTCCTTTTATTATCGAGACAACTAGAGTGGAAAGAACGCTCTTTATAGTCATTTTTTTATAATCCATCGTTCGCGAGGGATGGTCGTTCCGCAAAATGCGAAGGGTAAAATCGATGACACGAAAGCGAAGTCTAATTTTCATTTAAATGAAACGACGTTCACTGTAGGTGTTTCGATTCGGTCCTTTCCTAGCCGCCGTCGCCTCGGGCTAAGCGAAACGCTTTCGAACTTTCGACCAAAGTTTAATTGTCTTTTGCTTGCGTTCTATCTAAATTCGTCGCTCACCGTAACCAACGTTTCTCCAGCGGTTAATCTAGCCGATAAGATCGTCGTGTCTAGTGTTTTTTCCTGCTCCATTACGACGTACCGTATCCTTTTGATAGACTGAAAAATTCTAGAAAACTATAGGGCAAATCTTTCGAAAAATAAGAAAGAAATTCGCCATTAAATTTAACGATCAAAAGAATATATGAAATCGGAGCGTCGATAAAAATGCTAATAATCGGTATCTTGTTTCACATCGACCCGCGTCGACGAACACCTCTCTCGAGGTGTTTAAGAAATTTCGAGGTCTTTCCAAATAAACCACCACCATGACCTATCCTATGCGATCGGATGCCGTGGATATGGCCGTGCTCTTTTTTGCCCGGCAGAAACAATAAACCCTGGGAATTTCGAGGGGTCCAGGTTACGTCACTGCCAGAAGAAAGTTCATTTTCTTTATGACACATCGCTGTTCGCGAATTGTAGGAAAAAATAATGTTACATCGTGTTCGTCTTTGATAAATAATCATCCGGTGTTTAAAGGCTGCCTTTCAACGATGGGAATTATAATTTCAGTTTGATTCAATTCTAATCTTAATTCTCCTAATCAGATAAATATTTTACCACCCCGTGGTGGGTGTATACAACCCCGTGCCGTTGTTACTCCACCCTGCTTAATGGCGTACGTGTTCTCTCATAACAGATTGATAAGAATAACGATTGAATAAAGTTTGACGAGACAATGCAAACGAAAGTTCAGGTGTTTCGTCGCGTAATTTAATGTGTCTGGAAGGTGACGACATTGCAGGTCGTAACAATGTCGTGAAGGAAATGAACGTCGTTATCGCGAGTACGAGCATTGTTGAAGCAGACGAAATGTGGCTGTACTTTTAAAACAAATTTCAAAAGTCTTTCGAAAGAACAATACGGTACGGAAAAAGGAAAGGAGAAAATTATTTTAGTGTCGCGGAAATTTCTGTATCACAAATGACATTGATTGACTCGAACGTCGAATTTCCCTGAGAATCGCGGACTAATAGAAACGGAGCGAAAGAAAATCGTGTCTTCTACTATTTTTATCTAGAAACTAGTCCACGTCGAACGGCATATCGTACGATCGGATTAACCGGAGGAAGTCTCTTCGGATTCCGTATGCTTCTTGTCTGCTTCTGACTCGGTGTTTACATAACGATGAAATTTAATTCTCGGGACCACCGAACTTAGGAACTCGTGTAAACCAATACGCGGTCCGAGTAGCCAGCGACTAGCGCAAAAACGCCTAAGAAAAACCCTGTGAAAATTGTTGGACGTCTCTTTTTTTTTTTTACTTGTACAAGTTTTTTTTTCGTGTACGATTTGACAGAACGAAAGTGTGTTAATTAATTCGACGAAAACAGCGATTAATTGATTGCTAGCTAATTATTTTCAAATTGTAAAATAGATAAGCGAATTATCGGAAAGTAGAATAGGGTGCGGTTCGGATTATTCAAGCGAGAGGATAAGTCCTCCGAGGTTGTCGAGGGTTTCTGCAGTAGGTTTGGATGTTCTGCAGCGAACGGTGTGTTTGTCTTTAGAGGAAGCAGCAATTCTGCATCGTATCTTCCACGAGCTTGTAATTCGTCCGGGTTTACGCTGCACCCGTTTCCACGCGTTTTCATGCAAGAATATGACGCGGCCGCGGCCCGATGCGATCCGCGCATAAAAATAACAAACACACCGGTGCAGCAAGTCTGCTGTTTCTCAAATCTGCTAAGAGAAAAAGATAATCTGGTTAGCATTACCACCTTCCTGCGATAGGAGGCCTCCTTTTTATTTCCAGCCTTCGATAAACCCGGTTCTGCGAATCAAGAATTTAGAGGAATTAATATTACTATTATTCGCCTCTAACAAGTGTCTAGCCCTTAATAATTTAATTCCTTCGGTTCGCTGAGCTAACCATAATTTAAATTTCGAAAAGTAGTAGATACTAGCGAACTGTAGATCGCAGAATCGACGGTTTTTCCCGGTAAAACGAGAAACCTGTCTCGTGCCGATAGGATTGAATCCTGCCTGCGGTACGAGGGTGCGAAGTTGAAAAGGGCCAAAGCGGAATTCAGCCGAACAATGCGTACCGGGTGGCAATTTCACGCGACACGTCTCACCATCAGCATATCAATAGGCCAGCGGGATTATCTGGATGTGCAGTGATATTCCGCGGTTGGTTCCGCCAGATAGGGTTGCGCAGTTTCGCTTGCACGTACACCTTCTACCCCATACTCCGTGTGCTTGTGGATGTGTCTACTTTGATGCGCCTCTCCGCACCACCCTATTGCGTGCAGATTTAGTCGACTGTATCATCGAACGATTTATGCGAAAGTAACAGAAGTTCGGTTCATCGTTTTCTCGTTACATCGTGCACGAGATTTGACGTCTTTATAAATATATCTAGTAGAAAAAACCGTATCGCACTAAGTTTGATATATTTTGATATAAGCATTACATATATATATTCCAACCCTAAATTATTATATATATTCCAACCCTTTATTACCCTAAACATTAACTTCGCGCTTTCATGGACCTCTCACTCATTTCTCGTACCTCACATTGCGGGCGACTTCAAACAAAGAAGAGGGAATAGCGAGATGCTTATTTCGAAACAGAGACCACTTGCTTATTTCGAGGCAATACTGTACTGTAATATTGTATTTGATAGGCCATCCTTTGAAGGAATCTCTGACTGTTTTGATTAGAGCTTAGTAACATTATAATGCGACTGATTCGCTACGGATGAAAACAAACTCTACCGAGTTCAACTTTGTCCCCTTTCGTTCCGCTTCCCTTCGGATATAACCACGAGACGTTTATTTTTCTTGAAAACGTATCAGCCGCATTTCCTTCATCATTGTCTGTCTTAAGGAAATAAATCTACTGCCAGACTGTCCCGGGCCGGGTCGTTTCTTCGTGTCGTCTCGACGTTTCCATCTTTCCTCTTCGGAAACGAACAGTTAGTAAACAATTGTCCATTAGCTGACTATTAAATGAAATGAAAAGGAGCTTATAATTGGCAATCCAGGCATTTGATAGATATTAAGAAGAAATCTAGCGATTCGATATGCAACGATCGAATAATTGCCGGGGAAATAATCGAGCGACGGATGAATTAACGCGCGAGTAGACGAGGGTTGCAGGCTTGTTAAGAAAAGCCTTATCAGGGACGGGTACGCCAACAGAACCGCAGGCAAGCATTCACGGATGTTCGTAGAGCAGCCAGGAAAAGCCGAAGGGAGGAACGTGCGCTTATGCCGGCGGTGTTTGTTCAGCCGCAACTTCTCTAAATCTTTTGTGCCCTGCGGAGGGTTGCGGTTGTCTCGTGTACACGCGGTTACATATGTGTCCGAGTACCTATGTGCCTACTTAACAGCCAGGTACCACGCGTCTTTCTGCAAAGAAAGCTAAAGTTTTCTTACTCTCATTGTCGGTCTGAAATAAGAAAATTTTTAGTATGCAAGAAGCAATTGTGAAGTTAGGACTGTAGAATAATTGTCCAAAAAAGGCGCAGAACGTCGAACGTCGGTGTCGTCAGCTCGTCACCTCGTCAGAAGCGTTTAGCTTCCGTTTCGTTTGGTCGGAACACAGATCGGCTGTCTAAAAGACACGAAGCAACAGCCAAGACAAACCTTAAATGCTTGCTAACCAAACAGTCGGAATTAGCCGCGTTACCCGCCCACGAGGAACCCGGTGCTTTCGCCGTTTACTCCTCTCTATGGCTATTATCTTCTCCGCGTTACTATCATGGGTTATTCGTGCTCCGACTTTGTCTACTTTTCTAGAATAGCACACGCGAGATGGTCCATCCATAGACTCGCGTAGGAACACTGGAATTTTGTGGAATTGCACGAGATTTAATACAAAAATATATAAAATTCTTAATTAATTTCTTTTTATTCAGAAAGAATGGAATATTTTTTAAAAACATTCAACTGTTATCAGAACTTAATTCTGATAATTGAAGTCACGTTGTTATTTTGAAACGAGAGTATTCAAACGAAAAAGCTCGAGTATCACTTTATGTCGGAAGCTTGAGGTTTTTATTATCAAAAATTTCACCGTCATATAGAACATGTTTGTATAAGAGGAACGAGTGTAATGAAACGTACAAAGAAAATTCTACCCGTAGCAACTTTTTGTATGTATTAATTCATCCACCTGACGATTATTTCTCGAATAATTTTTCCCTTTTCTTTTACTTCTACATTGTTATTTCAAGGTATTCTTGCGTGGCGAACAAATTCGTTGTATATTTAGGAAATTGAAAGTTAAATAACACCGTTTTGCCATTTTTGCGATAAAATTACAAATCATTTTAATTTAGCTTTTTATTCTAATTTAACCAAATTGAAATTTATGTTTCAGATCGCAACCTCGTGAAGGAAGGACCATCGTTCCAGAATAATCGTACGGGCATGGATCTAGAAACGAACGATTCTATAAAACGAATTCCGTGTCGTTGGATGGCAAAGGATCGACGAAAACGTATATAGGAATAATCGTTGGACGAATTCATGCAGAGCCGCCGCAACCCGACAGAGATAATGGCGTCGAGCTGAAAATGCGACGCATGGAAACGATGTCTGTTGTTATTTTACGGGGGTGGAATACCGGGCCGACGGTTAAACCGATTTGCACATCGGATGCACTCTCGATTCCTCGAACAGCGGACAATTTCACAGGGTTCTCTATTTACGCTGCTACCTCCATCATCCTCTACCCTGCTCGTTTACGTATTTTGCTCTTTCCGGTAAATGCATTACGTTTATCTATTTTCCATTCTTTTCTTCGAACTTGTATCATTCGAGGACCAAGAAAATTATCTCTCTTCTTTTTTATTTGGATTCAATGAAACTTGAGAAATTAATTTTCATGAATAATCGAACGCTCGCGTGATCGATCACGATTCATCAGTAAGATATTTCATTCACAGAACGTCGAAATTCACGCGACCCGTGTGCGTTATATCGTGGACAACAAGAAGAGCAGTTCATTCGCTCGTCTAGTTGAGTGCTCGAGGCTTCCCTTTCGCACTGACAAGATGCAGCTTGCATTCGGACGTCACGTCAACGTCCGAACACCAGTCGTCGTCGACCATTAAATCGTTTTCTTCGTTGCTCGACAATCCTGGCCTCGCATAGTTACCTCGAAAACCTCCAACATGTTGCCATGTCGCTTTCGTACCACCGCAAAAGAAACTAGTCCACCGAATGAAATTGTTCAACAATTTTAATTCCAAGCTGATTAATTACCGTTCTATAAAATGCTTAATTTAGGCGAAATATTTTTTTTTCTATCTTAGATCGAAAGACTTAAATAGAAAATTCGAGGTATTCGAAGGCGAAAGGAGGGAAGACAAGAGGGGGGTGGTATTCGTGGGCATCGCGGTATCGGCGACGTAATAATAACGCGGCATCTCCTTCGTTTCTCGTCGACGAAGGGAGACGTTCTAACGATTTTAATAAATTTGGCGCTGGCTAAGCTGCAACAACAGCTCGGGTATGAATTAAGAGGGCCGAAACACCGCTTGGATAAACATCTCGAATTAGGCACCGGGATTCTTTTCCGTCCATCCGCGTGCACCGGGAGCTTTACGACTTCGGTATGTTTCGGCTGACGTGGCTTGATATGTATATGAGCGGTTAGCAGGCCGCAAAGTTGCGGTAATGGACGAGATATTTTACAACTGAGGGATGTTTCAAAGATTAGCTTCATCCTTTGCCGCGATCTTTTCTAATCCCTGATAAGACTGTCCTCTAATTAATCGTGTCGAAATTGATTATTATTTCTCGCCCCGTAGGTTGGTCGTAGGAATTTATTTCTAGTTGGTTGCATCGAAGTCTTCGGGTAATGAAAGAAAAAAAAATTCGCGAAATTAGACCACCATGGGTGGAGTATCCCTTCGGAGACGCGACAACAAAATCCTACAAAATGGTCTCGAATTATCGACTATTCCGGTGGTCTGAAATCTTCGCGTAGAATCTTATTGAAAGAGATCGAAATCCCTACCATTATGTTCGAAGCTCGTGGTCGTATCCAGAGTGATTCGCTGCCGTTTTGAATCCATCGTTAGAAAATCACGTAGAAAAGATTTTCCATGGGCATCGACATAGGCCTGCTGGCACTTGTCGAAGAGGAAGAAATTCCTCGGGCGGATTAGCTCGATTCGACACGAATTCGATTCCCTTTTGTGATTCGACCCAGACACGGCGATGTTGGGCAAACAGGTCATCGGGTTTCGATGATGTTGAATCAGCTAGGATAATTCAGTTGAATGGATCCTGTGAACCGAATCGCGACACCTTCCTTACGATTATCCTTCGTCAAAGGATCACTGACAATCTTATTACAGATTATCCAAATTCTCTTTTAATTTCTCTTTTTTCCAATTTCATCGGTGTTCGATGTTCAACTACGAGTTTCATCGATTCGGACTAAGAAATTCTTTTTTTTTCTACTCGGACCGACAGGTGCAGTAGCCTTCACCCGCGGATATTATTTCTGTCAACCTTGGCCGTGTTTATCTGCATACATATTTGACCAACTCCTGCCGTGCAGGTCCATCGCCTAGGTCGGTAGAGGGAGCGTATTACCTGAAGAAGTAATCTCTGTCGCATGAAATAACATTTAGGCTGGACTGGCTGCTCTACCACCTCCCTGTTTGTTTTCACCTATACCTGGACACTGTGTTACGTGCTTTCCGTGTGTATAAAAGTATCCTGACTCGAGGATGATCCTCCATGTTTAGCATCATCACTTGTTCTGTTGCATGTCTTCTAATTTGTATGTGCGTTTAATTGCAGTGGAAGTTTCTTCAGGTATGTGGAAATAAGTAGAAGAATTTAATTATCATTTCGAGTCAAAGGGTTAACCAAGGTTCTTTGTGTGTCTACCAGTAGTATTCAGCATGGTTGACAACCTAAAGATCACACAGTTAGCCATTACTGAACTATTAGAGGTTTGTCAACGTAGATCCTTTTGGATGACACTTTGAAGGGTACCAGGTACCTGGACTCTGTTGGTTCTGGTAACGTTTGCAGAGCGTTTCTACCTACGCAAAGCACATAAAATATTAGAACTTACGTATATTGGTATCCAGAAGATTTCGTATTTCAAGTTTATCCAAAATCAAAGCTCCAGTTGCTTTTCAGGCATTTGAATATTTCTTGATATCCGCATTGATAACTTAATATCTGTTGTTTAATTCAATATATGAAGCATAACAACGAACGATTTGATGAATCCCCCTTCGGATGTGGCGGCGAACGAGGTTTCCTCCGTTCCCTTCGGGGATCTCGGGGGAAGAGTAGAAGCAAAGGATACGAGAGTGTGAAAAATAATTTCCTGCCGCTGATATGTGGCAGATCGGACGAAGGAGAAAAGTCCTAGAGGCGGGAGTATCAAAATATTATTCGAGGGTATGCCTAGGGTAGCTGCGCATTCTCGTGCCATATAGAAGCCATGCTGAAGCTAAAGTGGATGGTTATTGCTCTCAACCTGACCGCTCAGGCTGCCACTATCTCATGGCTATACACGAATTTCATATTTACTCTCATTTAATGCACCATCCGAATCATCGTTTTTGTATAAAACTAATTCGAAATTAATTAGTACGAGTGAATTTTCGAAATTTTCAAATTATAAATTTACCACCTTTTTATCGAGAAATCGTCTCGCACGTGGCTGAATTCTGTGGGAACGAATAGTCTTCGCACACATGCGCGTACAAGTACAGCTAGTACTTACAATTAGTAGCAGGGAACTGGTGGCAGCCGCAAGCAGTGAGAGAGAGAGAGAGACTCGGTCGATATATGGTCACAATGAAGGGTGTGGCGTTCGAGGACCAAAAGCTCTCTCCTGTCTGCTTTATCCTACCATTGGCTGTTGCCAGGTGTCGAGAATGGCGGACCTTTCTCCCGTCGACCCTCCTGACTGCTCTTTTAACACCACTTCAACCTCCTTTGCGACCAACGCGAAAGATTTCTTGTTAATTGTGACACTGGGAGGAGCGAGTGGTCGTTCTTTGATTTTGCGAACGACACGTGAGAACAGCAAAAGAACAGACCTGAACATTCCAATTATCATCATCATCGATCATTGATACATAGGTATTTGGTGTTTCGGTTGCATTTTTCTGGCATACCATTACCATTCAGGTACTAAATAAATTTTCATAATTCTACGAACTTGCAAATAGCGAACCCGGAAATGTTATATATGTTAGAAGACGTGGAATAAATTCAGAGCAAAAAGTTATTCACGTTTCTCGGTAGAGCAGTGATTTAGAAAGAAAATGACGTATGCCGAGGTTCTTAGCAAGCGCCACTTTAATGGAGACACGTGTCGCGGGTATTTTAGATCGGACCGCGGCCCGATGATGAAGAGAACGACGACGTTCGAGGAAGATTGATGAGGTGTGTTTACCACTAACTAATTCCCGTCTGCTGCCGCTTCGCGTCTAGCTAACTAACTTTTGCTCGGGGCGGAACGTGGCCCTCCAGAAGCGGCCTCAAACTTGCGCCGACAAATTGTTTGAATTCCAGTACGGTGAAGCAGACAATTAGAGATGGGAACAAGAATAGGTCTAAGAACAGTAATCGATGGATGTTCTATAATTTGTAGAAAAGTCAATCAGAAAAATGAATAATTGGTGGATGAAAGCGTCGGGTTAGCCGGAGGTGGTTAACGAAGCATCAGCCTGGATTAGGCTTGCGTCAAGCCACAAAACCAGCCTCTTCTCGGGGTTCGGCGTACGATGAAGAAACGGAGGTTATTCCTGGTTGAACAAACACTGGAATGGGTCGCGTGCGCCTCCCACATATTTATAGATTTTATCTCTCTTTGACTTCGCCGAGGCGAGTAGGCGTTCGTGTACCCGTGTGCAGTGCGATGGGATGCCGAGGAAAAGAATCCAGGAGGACAGGGACGAGCAGGAGGCCGCGAAAACCGGGAGGAAATCTGAGGAATGCCCGACGGAACGAGGGAAAATATCGGACGCGAACGAAGAAAGAAGAGGAATCGCGACAGATCGAAGAAATCTTTCTTTGTTTATTCAGTGATACTCTTTCTTGCCATTTTCGCTGTTTCGTGAACAATATAAAGGTAAACAGCGACGAAGGGAGAGGTGACGAACAGTTGTCGCGAGGGATGAATAGAGGGATTTTTCATGAAGCCGTGAAACGTGGACGACTATCGAATCAGCCAATTGTTCGATCGTTTCGCATTGTTATTTTTATAATTCACCGTATCCTCGATCTTGCTGGCGTGGCGACGGCACCGTGTTGTTTTTATTGGCCGCATTTAGGGAACGCGAAAGGGACCGAGCGGGGAAAAAGGTGGTCGGTAGCAATGGACGAATATACCAGAGCAAGAGGGGTGAACCGATGGGAACGGGGTGTTGTTTCATCCCTCGTGGCAGCTTCGTCTATTCTAGCCGGGAGCAGCTACATTCTAGTGCCTAAAGCGGAGCCATAGCTAGGATAGGATAGGATAGGACAGGAAGAAAGACTCGGTCCTGAAGGGTAAGGCTACATTCACATTGCAACTTAGACTTTTGTTTGTTAGACAAGTACTGAGGAAGGAATGTTCCATCACTCCCCACATTCCTTATCTATAAAGACAGAAGGTTATCCTTTAGCTTCCCTTAGATCCTTCCAAAAACTCAGCTAACCGCACTAATTAAGAGCCTAATGACTGCTACAAGGCTACAACAAGTTACTATACTAATGTGAATGCAGCATTATTGGAGGGTGCAAGAGAAGGAAGAGACGCGGAGGTGGGCGACTACGAGGGTTGACAATACCACAGTCATCCAATGTTATTTCAGTACAAATTCTCTCTCCCCTCCTTTTCGTCCCTTCTTATTTCGCTCTTCTATCTCTGTCGTGTTTTTCTTCCGTTTCCCTTTTTGTCACCCCTTTGTCACTCCTTACACTCCCTTCGTTCACTCTTTCCTTCCTCTATCCCATCTATCGCCATCAGGTCGAATCTCTTTTTTAAACTTGATAGTTTATTGGGCTGATGCCCAAGTCCAAAAGAGATCATTTAATTTTATTTATTTACTTTTTTAGCTTATTAAATAAGCTCATAAGGCGGATGAAATTTTTCATTCTATCCATCTTGTGGGCTTCGGTTGACCATCCCCTTTATTTCTTATTACATCCTTCCTTCTTACATCCGTGCATCCCTTATATCTCTGCATCCCTTACACCCTTGCATCCCTTATATCTCTGCATCCCTTACACCCTTGCTTCCCTTATATCTCTGCATCCCTTAGACCTTTCCTTCCCATATATCGCTGCACCCCTTACACCCTTGCACCCCTTACATCTCTGCATCCCATACACCCTTGCTTCCCTTATATCTCTGCATCCCTTAGACCTTTGCTTCCCTTATATCTCTGCATCCCTTACACCCTTCCTTCCCTTATATCTCTGAAAAATTGAAACGAATTTAGTTTCCATTTTCACCGTCAGAGGGCGCTGTTCTGGCCTGTGAAATTTAGTTGACATTTTTGCCGCTAGAGGGCCAAAATTTGTGCAAGGTTTAGTTCCTTTTTCCAAAACCAGATGGCACTGGTTCGACGTCGAGAATTTAGTTCACATTTTTGCCGCTAGAGGGCCAAAATTTGTGCAAGGTTTAGTTCCTTTTTCCAAAACCAGATGGCGCTGATTCGACGTCGAAAATTTAGTTCACATTTTTGCCGCTAGAGGGCCAAAATTTGTGCAAGGTTTAGTTCCTTTTTCCAAAACCAGATGGCGCTGATTCGACATCGAGAATTTAGTTCACATTTTTACCGCTAGAGGGCCAAAATTTATGCAAGGTTTAGTTCCTTTTTCCGAAACCAGATGGCGCTGATTCGACATCGAGAATTTAGTTCACATTTTTGCCGCTAGAGGGCCAAAATTTATGCAAGGTTTAGTTCCTTTTTCCAAAACCAGATGGCGCTGATTCGACATCGAGAATTTAGTTCACATTTTTGCCGCTAGAGGGCGCTGTTCGGGCCTGAAAATAGTTGAAGTGCTGGGATGTATGGGTTGCAGAGAGGTAAGGGTTGCAGGGATGGAAGTAATGGAAGGGATGCAGGAATGGAAGTAATGGAAGGGATGCAGGGGTGTAAGTAATGCGGGTATGTAAGGGATGCAAAGATGTAAGGGTTGCAGGGATAGAAGTAATGGAAGGGATGCAGGGGTGTAAGGGATGCAGAGATGTAAGGGTTGCAGGAATGGAAGTAATGGAAGGGATGCAGGGATGTAAGTAATGCGGGTATGTAAGGGATGCAGAGATGTAAGGGATACAGGCCTGTAAGAAAAGCAGTGATGTAAGGGATGCAGGGATATAAAGAAAGCAGTGATGCAAGGAATGCAGAGATGTAAGGGATATAATTTTTTTTTTTTTTTTTAACGTGGGGAAATCTTGCATGAGACCCCCCACCGTCCCCTGGGGGAGGGCGGCAGGGGAGTGTCAGATTCCTACTGACTAAAACCCCACGGCGACCAACACTGGCGCTAAAGGAGGGCTTCGAGGTCTTATATGTATTATTTCGAAGCCCTCCACGCCTGGCACACAGGTGCCCATCTCGGGGGAGGTCCCAACTGAAACCTCCCCCTGCTGCCTATCCTCTGACCGACACCGTGGTCACTCCGGTGTCGGTCTCTACTTGGGCTGCGTACCAGGGCGCCCGGAGCCCCCACTCCGGACGCCAGCGGCCCTGACTGCCCCACCGGTTTTGGTGGTGAAGCCGTCTTATCTACTGTTAAGGGAAGGGTTGGTTTACCCTTCTCTTGCTCTTCTCTGACCTGTCCGTGTTGAATATGGCGGTCCTAGTAAGGACCGAATATGTCTTTGTTGCTGAAATTGCTATTACCATCAATGTGCGTTTGTCTGTTGCAGTGCGAAGTTTCACAATACTAGGATGGATCAGTTGACGCGCGTTTTCAAGGCCTAAATTCAAGACTCCTTGAAAACAAAGGCATGTCCAGTCACCTTGTCACATTTATCAGAAAACCACGTACGCGTAATCCCGAAAATTAGACGTTCACTCTTCCGGATTGGAAGGAGGCTTCTTTGTGCTTGAAATATACCCCAGGATCCTGAACGAGTGGCATCTGTAATAACAACGTTCGCTCTTGCGGCTCTCCCTCTACGTGACTGCTACGGGAATGCTACGTAGGATAGATTTCCAAAATTCCGATCAACTGTGATTAATCGTATATATACAGTCACGCTTATCATTAGATACAATAATCTTAAATAACTCTGTCGTTTGTATAATTTTTATTATAATAAAGTTCTACGTTCAATGACAAAGTGTGTGTTATTTAAATTATACTAACTTTAAAGACAGGGCACATGAATTTGACGAGAGACAACGTCCTCACGAGTCTTTCTTGTACTGTAAAATGAGAAAAAGGAGTGGGGATCCTCTGTCGCCACCTTCTTAAAGCCAACAAAAATATTATTTCACGTAAATATGTGTCTGCGGTGAAGCACTTTTAGTTTCGTCTTTTCTTCTTTTAAACGATAAAATTGTAATTGTCATCGGTCTGTCATCAGGACCAAACTCATCACAGCCATTCCAAGTATTTTGCACCTTCAATTTAGGGATACAATACATTAGTTAGCCTTATAATTGAATTCTGAAAGCATCTTTAATAATTTGCATATAATTACGAGTTAACTAAAATTGTCTAAATGTTCACGGTATCATGGGGTCATATACTTCAAAAAGTATGAACGAATAAACGAAGAAGTGATCCATTAGGTAGGAAGCCCCAGCTGACACACCCTGACGCTATCAAAACACGCCTTAAAACTTATATTCCTGCGTAACAGCGTAGTAGTAGTGGAAAAACTACGTACGTGAGATAAAATAACAGAGTGTAGTTAACAGGCTTGGGTAAAAATATTCAACCAGGTTCCACCACCTTCCCTTCACCATCCTTCTCTTTTCCTTTCTCAATTCCCTTTTCAATTTCCTCTTCTTATCTTTTATTCCTTTACATTCTATAATGATGATGAATTTTCTTACATATCGTTTATCTACCTCTTTATGCGACATAAAGTACTTACTAATTGATTTGGACAAAAGTTTTATTTTAAGAAGCACTGATATCTTTTGAAACTTTCTACTGCACCTGTGTGATGTGTATTGTTAATTTCTGAATAATTGATTCACAAGTTAAAATATTAATTACAATTTAATTGCAATTTTATTTAATTCTATTTTGTTAAAAATTAATCAAAATCGGCACAAGACTGTTTGACAAACTTGTATTTTAAAAAGGCCACCATAAATTGTGTTTTCAAAATTCGATCCTAGAAGCGCCGCCTGTCGGAAAGTAGCGGAAACTATTTGCCGAATTATCGACCGACCCTTCGGTAAGTTGTCGACTTATAGATCGTTCCTCGGCGGTCGGTAAGTTGTCGCGTAGCTTCCACTGCTTTCCGACAGGCGGCGCTAGTGTCCCCCCGGAAAATCTATCGGTAAATTGTTGAGTAGTTTGCGCCGTTTCCCTAAAGATGGCGATAGGATCGAATTTTTAAAATTTTATGGCGGTCTTTTTAAAATACAAGTCTGTGAATACAAGTTTATCAAGTAATTATTTCAATAATTTTTCAGTCTTGTGCTGACTTTGACTGATTCCTAAAACAATAGGTTCAAAAGAGTCTGTACTCTGTACTCCCAAACTTAACTTCAGCTGGGGGTGGCTTGAAACCCCTAAAATCATGTCCCCTCGAGAACAAAGGCATGTCCGGTTTTGGATTTATAGTTATTGATGCTATGTCACGTTTGATGTATACCGCTTTCGAATTTCGGAGTTTGTTATTTTTAGATTAATATATTTTTATGTTTAAACACAAGTAGATTGGCTTTATTAACAAATGTAATTATGTTAATCTTAAACGAAGTACAAATATTATGGTTTGTTATTGTTCAGTTTTTTAAATATTTCCGAATATTACATCCTTTTTAATAACTCAGTATTTGTGGTTTCTGTTGACAGGTAATTATAAGGAATTAAAGCAGATTATAATTAGATAGTGTTTATTATATTATGCGTGGTTGCAATTATGTTGCAATTATTTAATAATAAGCAAGGGATTCCTAAGTGATTTAACATTAAGGTGTTTATGGTTTCAAATTACATGAGCAAATATGCAAAGTTTAATAAAACATCCAAAGCGACAATTCGTTATTTCACGAAAGCTTGTTGGTTCTCTATTTAAATATGATGCACGAAAGTATGGAATAATTAAAGCTACTTCCTCAAATATCAAATTTAACAGTGCGATAAATAGGTTATGTTTTCCACTGTCATGTGGGGTAAGTGTCTTATGATTACAGTTTTACATATGTTATTTAAACGAAGTACTTATGTAACAATTTTTATTGCAGCTATATACAAAAGTTTATAAAGAATTAAATGAATTGCAATCATTTTTGAAAAATGACTTCTGTAAATCTTCAAAATTGTGCAATCCAAGAAACTTTAGCACAACTACCAGCAGCAAACAATCTTCTAAAGGTTCTAGTGAATCTTCAGAGGATCCTGGCAAGGATTCCAAAAGACCTAATGAATTTCAAATATTACTTGTAAAATTTGCTGTAGGTTTTCTTGTGGCATTATCTGTTTATCGTTTAATAAGTTTGCAACCTACCGATGCTGTGGTAAGTTTGAACCAATAAAAAATTTAGGATGAAGAATTGTTTTGCCTAACTGTGATTACTTTGTATTAGGGTGATAGGATAAATTGGAATGACTTTATAAATGAGATACTCTTAAAAGGGCAAGTTCAAGAGATTAGAATTTATCCAAGAAAAGTACAAGTGGTACTTAAACGTGGTGCTACATACAAAGGAAAGCTATTATTTTCGCGACTTGATCTTTATAATATTCCTGATACTAAAGACATTGAAGAAAAAATTAGACTAATAGAAAGACGTATTGGCATTAAAATGGGTATGAAAGATCAAGAAATTGAATGCCATATGACATCATTCATTTTGAACTACATTGATCATTATATTATTATGAATTTTTAGAGGATGGAATTCCAATTAGATACATAAGCTTTGGATTGGAGAATATTCTAGGAGAATTGCTTAGATTAGCCTTAGTGATTGGTTTAATTACCTTTTTTGCTCGTGGTGCAAACCTCAAAAATGGTTTGAATAATATCTTTAGTGATCTAAGAAAAGCAAAATTCACATTAGTAGATCCTTTTTCTGGTAAAGGTGTACATTTTAATGATGTAGCTGGTTTAAAAGAAGCCAAAATAGAAGTTATGGAATTTGTTGATTATCTTAAAAATCCTGAACGGTATCGAAAGCTCGGTGCTAAAGTACCGAAAGGTATAAATTTTATAGTTTTAAAGGGTTCAACTTACAGCTCTTTTTTTGATTGAACTATAATTAGTTTAACTGATTTTTAGGAGCTTTATTGTTAGGACCACCAGGATGTGGTAAAACGCTATTAGCTAAAGCCGTTGCAACTGAGTCAAATGTTCCATTTCTATCAATGAATGGATCTGAATTTATCGAAATTGTAGGTGGATTAGGTGCAGTACGCGTAAGGGATTTGTTTGCAGAGGCTAAGAAAAGGTTTAATTATTTTATATGAAAAAAAAAATGATGCAACTGTTCTCTGATTTATAATTAGTTTATTTATTGTTATAGGGCTCCTAGTATTATTTACATAGACGAAATTGATGCGATCGGCAAAAAACGATCGGAAGGGATTTCTCAGTTCAGTAATAGTGAATCTGAACGTACTTTAAATCAACTTTTAGTGGAAATGGATGGAATGACTACATCGGAAGATATTATTATCTTAGCCTCGACAAATAGGGCAGATGTTTTGGATAAAGCTTTACTAAGACCCGGTAGATTTGATAGACACATTTTAATCGATCTTCCTACTTTAGAAGAAAGAGAGCAAATTTTTGAATATCACCTTAAGTCTTTGGTATTAGAAGGCAGCCCGTCACAATATTCGAAATACTTAGCTCATCTTACTCCTGGCTTTAGTGGTATTGTATGCTACTATTATTAATGAACGCTTAGAACTTCTTTTCTCTGTAATTTTATTTCAAATTATATGTTTGAAGGTGCGGAGATAGCAAATGTTTGCAACGAGGCTGCATTACACGCAGCTAGCAATTCAAAAACTAAAGTTGAAAACATCGATCTAATGTATGCAATTGATAAAATATTAGGTGGTACAGTAAAAAAATCTAGCACGTTAACACCTTCCGAGAAAGAAGTTGTTGTTTATCACGAAGCTGGTCATGCTTTAGCGGCATGGTTATTAGAACATATAGATCCTTTAATTAAAGTTACAGTAATACCAAGAACGAATAAACGTTTAGGCTTTACTCAATATTCCGATTCAAATCTAAAGCTTCGGAGTGTAGAAAATCTCTTTCAAAATATGTGTGTGTTGTTAGGCGGTAGAGTTGCAGAAAATATAATATTTAATAAAATTTCAACCAGAGCACAAAATGATTTGAAAAAGGTAACGGAAATGGCATATCGTCAAGTTCAGCAATTTGGGATGAGCCCTGCTGTAGGTTTAATTTCTTTCAATAAAGAATATACAACCACGGTGAGATATATATATATATATATAAAATTTTCAAAATAATACTGCATTATTGATTTCATAATATGATTGATTTACTAATTAGAAAACGAAAAAACCATATAGTAAAAAGATGGCAAGTTTAATGGATTCAGAAGTACGACGAATAGTTACTGAAGCGTATAAAACAACTGAAAAATTATTATTAGATAACAAAGATAAGTTAATAATAGTAAGTAATAGTAATTAATTCCTGGAATACTTTTGTCTCTCAGAAAATATTGTAGCCTAGTCCCGAGTTGATATTATCCAAAAGAATATTCTACATCAATTTTCTTAGACATACAGTATTTTATTATATATTACGTATATAATTTTGCTACAATTTTTTTTATATGTACTCGTAGTTGGCCGAAGCACTATTGAAAAACGAAACGTTAACATACAAAGATATAGAAAAATTAATTGGTCCACCACCATTTGGAAAGAAAGATGTCATGGAAGTAGAAGAACTTAATCTTAATTTGGAAAGTAAAGTACAGGAAGATTTGAAATAGATACACCTCTAGCATCTTTTGATAAATATTTCTACACTACCACTTAACCATGGCCAATACGATTTTCATGTAAATCTTTTGCAATATTTTTTTCTTTAAAAGTACAATGATTAACTACAATTTTCTGTAATATGGGTGTTCTTGTTACAGGTGCAGGAACAAAATTTAGTGAAAGAATTACAACTTTATTTGGGTAAAAATGTAGTTTTTACAGAATACTTTTTAGAAGAAATGAAATTCATACGTTAACATTGCAAAGTCGTCTACTTCCGTTTAACATAAAAAGATACTTTTCGTTATTTTAGATTTCCTACAGCGAACTGAAACTATCCTCATATTTATATTAGATGATAAATATATTACATATATGTATATATTTTATGTATCGTGTAAATATAACGAATTTCAATGTAAAATAAAAAGTCTTTATCATAATTTAAAAAATTCTTTGTTATTTAATACTGTAAACAAATAATCATCAAATGTGAACATATAATTTGGTAAATTAGTAGAAAGCACGTGAAATAAACAACTTATGTTTTTATCAAATTATAGTTTTCTTACTTACACCATCTCATTAGAAAACAACAAAGTATGTACCTAGATGTTTCTGACTAATATGTAACAAATAATATTTTTAGTACTATAACGGAATTAATACGAAGTTTGGCTTATTAATAAATTCAACTTTTTTAAAAACAACATTAATAGTAAATGATAACAATAGTAAGAATGAAAGAGATATAACTTTCTAGGATCATGTAAGTCTTTAAAGGTATTAGAAAAATCCTTAAAATTCTAAGTACTGATTTAACGTACCATATTGTAGGAACAGTCCTTACTGATAACATTAAATAAATAAAGATAATTTTGATTTGTGCTTGCAGCATATAAACACTGCTTTGACACTGTGTTATTTTTAATAGTAACCAACATTCATTTGGAAATAATATCTTTGATAGTATGATTGAGTGTGCGTTCCAAATGACTTCCACTCCAGTATACTTGTCCACACTGTTCACATATGTAAAAAACTGGTAAATTTCTTAATACATTTATCGGTACTTTATCAATTTGTATCCTTGCTTGATATTTTGTTGCACATGTATTAATATTTACAGAATCTACACTTAATTTCCATGTGCGATCCTCCAATTCCATTGCGTTGTTTACATAATAATTATCTCGTGAATTACTATCGTTTGTTATTGGTAACTCTAATGAATTTTCATGCACTGAATCTAGTGAACTTGAAGGTATGCGATAATTATTTTCACGCGTTAATTTGACAAAGCTAAAAAATTATAAGGGTTCGTTACCATTTGTACACTTAACGACTGTAAGAAGAAATCATTTATAACGAACCTTTGCACAAGTTTGTCCATTAATGTTTTGGGAATTTTTGCAAATTCGTCATTGTTACAAATTTGGCACCGACTAAAAATGTCTTTTTGTGTAACATAAATTCCAAAATACTTCAACACTTCTCGTAACTGTTCCTCGCAACTATCAGCTATTACCATATAATATCTTTCAGGTGGTAGATATTTTGAAAACTGTAAAATACAATTAAACTAATTAATCACTGATTATATACAAATTCAGTCAAGTCTGTAAAAATATACTTACTTTTAGATCATTCTTGTTACGAGTTAGAAGTACTCTGTTTTCGTCCACTGCTAATTTTAATGATCGTTCACCGTTTTGATCAAAAGCAACGTGAACACAATCACACCCACACATTCTTAACTTACTCGTTAATCCGCCTAACATGGAATCACAAACTACACGCCATTTATGTGCTGGTATAAGTTTCTTATTAATCATTGGCTGATTTTGTGGTGTTTCTGTATTATAGTCTTTTGTCATGTAACATGGTTCGTCGTTTAGATCAAGGATTGAATATTTTTGATGATGTAAATGCATTGGCTTCTTAGGGTAATCTTGTTTGTTTGGGTGATTCCCATACTGTCTGTTTGGGAAATATTGTTTATTTGGATGATTTTGTCTATTTGGATGATTTTGTCTATTTGGATGATTTTGTTTATTCGGGTAATTTTGTCTGTATGAGTAATCCTGTCTATTTGGATGAACCTGTCTGTTGGGATGATCCTGTCTGTTGGGATAATCCTGTCTGTTTAGGAACATAGGCTTTTGAAAGTTCCTAAATCTTTGCGATGGATTTTTAAATCTTTGTTGTTGATTATCATTTGGTACATCATTTTCAATTGCATTTTGCTGCAATAAGATACATACAGATATGCAAGTAGTACTTAAATGATTTACCTATTTAGGTTAGAAGAACTTACATTCTGTGCAGGTTTTTTCGTGTTTCGTTTCGGTGAACGATGTGGAATATGTTGTAACTCCGTACAAATATCAGGAAACGGTATATCTAAACGTTCGCATTGACGTGTTATGACTTCATATATTTCCAACAGGCAATATGCATCTAACGCTATGATAATAAATTATTATTAAATTTAATTTCTAGAAAACAAATAAAACTGCATACGTATGTAATTTTTACATTTAAATATAAAAAATAGCTATTTACCAGCATATATTATTTGACCTTCTCGTAATGGTCTTTGTTCCCAATTAGAAAATTGATCAGATTTATTCAATCTATTTCCCAGACAAAGTTCTACGAGTTTACTTAAACTTTGTTTGGTGAACTGATCATCACTTTCATGTGGGAATACAAATTTATAGTCATTTACCAATTTCTGCCATAAATGAACTATGTCTAAATATCCTGGCCCATACGTTTTTACTTTAGATAGAGCAGGTAGACTATCCCGCATAACTGTCATATCTTGCGCTATGCCAAAACCTGTATAATATATTTAAAAAGGTATACATAATCAATTACCTAATTTTCCATGAAATTCAATTACTAATTATAATACAAGAACAGCTTATTAGTTGAAGTTTACCTAATTTTAAAATATTTTTGTTTTCAAATAAAATTAAAGCAAGTTCTGACCACAAATCTTCTGAATCATTTCCCATTGTAGTTACATCTAAGATGTATACATTATTATCAGTAGCTATTTGTATTAAAGCTAATTCAGTCTGCTTCGTACCTGTCAATAAATAAAAATGACTTGATTATTCTTTATTATATCATTGTAGAAATAAATTGTAATTAACTTGAGGTATTACCAAAACAAGGCTTCCATTCTGAATCAATACCAACAATATAGACACCGTTAAACCCAGTGTCAAGAAATTCTTCGAAACTTCGTGAATTATCTATTATTTTAATAGAATTTCTTGCCAATTTCAATTCATGACAATTTATAATATCCTCAGTGAGTTCATCACTGTTTATGTTAACTCGGCTACTGGAAGCTCCTTCATTTATTCCTTTATAATCAAATAGTATAGTTTTGTACAAGTGATATTGAAATGTAAAAAAAGATTATTACCTTCCGATTCAATGTGTTCATCTTCATATGTAATTGCCCATGGCCATTGCTCTTTAGGTATATCAAATTTTTTTGCCCAATACAAACCTTCTTTTGCATCTTTTGCATTAATTAATAATCTTATCATGTGAAGCTGTAACTTTTCATCTCCTCCAATTGTCTCCTGTACCATTTCCCTCCAGCTTGCAGTACCTTTATTTAATAAAAGATCTCTTATTTATAATACTTGATTATTGTAAATTGTATAAAAAGTAAACGTACTTAAACTACAATCCACGTAACGTTTATGTATCAGGAACTGTAAAGCACCTTCGCATCGTTTTTTATTTAAATTGGGACAAAATTCAGGTGGAAGATTATACAACTTAACAAAACGCGCTATTAGTTTAGTCATTGGTTTGACTTGTGTTGTTGACATCTTCACATCTGGTATGTTATCTTTCCTGTAATAAGTTTAACATTATATCGCACTTAATATTTTTCTTTTCCTTAAATTATTTAAACTTACATAATTATCTCATCTAATGTAACGTGCATAGCATTATCAGGTCCAATTAAGTTATCCAGATAGGTGACCAGGGCCTTTTGCATTTCTGGACAATTGTCCAAAACTTCTTCCACTATTGTTAATTTATTTTGTAGCATAAGCGGTAGTAATAAAGATTCTGGATCTCCAAAATAGTCTTGCAACTGTAACATAACTACATACTGTGCTGCTTTTTTATATTTTTTTTCATGAACCAATTTCTGAAAGAATATACTTGCGTCAGAAAACAATGTAAAAGTTAAACACTAAAAGCTTTATTGTACAATAATACCTTTATTATACTAAGAAATTCCTCTTTATGTTCTACAAATTCATATGTAACTGCAACCATCTTAATGAATTCCATGTTGTTCTGTGAATTGACTAATTGAAATGCTGCTAATTTTAAATCTAACACTAAGAAATGTTTGTACTGGTCTTTTTTTGGTTCTAACCATTTTATATATTCTTCAATGACTGGAATGCATAAAAATGTATTAATATCATTAATATCATGATACTGTTAACAATGTTATATTTAACAAAACTTTAATTATACTTATATAGTAAACATTGAAACTTATTTATATCATTTAATTTATATTATATAAGTATCATAAAACATAAACCTGCAAATGCTAACGATGAATTTGTTTTCATATATTTAAAGTCTGAAGTATTTACTAATATTCGTATTGTGCTTAAATATGGATTTGGTGCACTTTCAAAATATTCTATTAATGTTTTGCTTACACTATCACATTTTTTCCCTGTAAAAAGATATGAAACATGAGTAATACATATATATAATTATAATCGTGATATTGTAATTGTAACAATATATAATCTGCTTACATAATTGCCATATATGATTTAATGAAGTAAGCCACTCTTTTGTGGTATCATCTATCATTGAAAAGAATTTTAAATCGTCTGTGAACGAATCATCAATTTTTTGAATTGTATTTGTCATTGTTTAAGGTGTTATATACCAACAATACACATATAACTGGTGGTATGCGTAGAAAAAGATCTTTTACGCAATATGTATAAACAGTTATACTTTGAAAACAATTGAATCGGTATAACTGAAGCTTTTGTTCAAACATCAACCTATTTTTCTTGTGGTCACAAACACTTTATATTACAAAGAACATTCGGTGAAATGATTCATTGAAAGGGAAAAGACCATTCGGCACTATCGATACTGATACATATACGTGCAAAATGATAACATTAAAATTCCCTATCTATTGGATTTTTTTTAAATGAAAAAATATGTGTGTTAAAAAATGTAATTGCTTTCTTTTGATTTTTATGATCGCTTTCTTTTAAAAGATGGAGGAAATGTAATTAAATCAAAAGTAATAGATTAAACGTGAGGTCTAAAAGTCAAGAAAATCATTAAGACGATTTCTATGTTAACCCAAAGATTTCTTATTTTGGAACGCGTGATTAATTTAGTTTGTTTACAGGCATTTGCTAATTTGTTATTTCGTGGAACTTCATGACACCACAAATACATATATTCGTTGATGATACAATGTAATGAGATGTAGTAAGAAGTTTCAGTTTCTCGAAAGCCAAGTAACTTAACTTTTTCCTTGATCATCTCTGATCATTTGAGATATGATGAAACAGAAGTTACCTAAAAATTGGATTGTATTAGCATCAAAAACGCATCCAGATAGAGTTTATTACTTTAATGTCAAAACAAACCAGTCTTCTTGGGAAAAACCAATGGAAGATCAACCTAAACAAGTACTTAAGTATTTTTTAATCACCAGCATTAATTGTTAATACAATCGTTAATAATATTCTATTAGTATTTTTAGTTAGCCATGTATGTAATGTATATTCTGATTTGTAAAAATTTGTATAGATCAATTTTAACAATTAACGGTGCATTAATACATCCTGTAATAAACAAATTAAATATTAAAATAGACAAATTTATGAATGATTTTTATTATTCAGGTTACAAAGAAGACTGAACCTGCTAAGAAACGTAAAAAGGTAACTCACGAAAGTGATGGTGAGATTAGACCTACTACACCTGAATACGATGCATCTGAAAAAGAGATTGGTGAACGAAAGAAACTCACTGCTAAGAGGTCTTTACGTCGTACCCAAGCAAAGGTCAATGAAGAAAAAGTCAATGAACCAAAAGATAACAAAGAAAAAGATACACCTCAGATGCAAATACTTCGTGAAAAAATATTAAAAAAGAAAGAAACTGGGAGTCCTAAATCTTCTAAAGATGATACAAAATCATTAGCTACAAAGTCTGACAGAAATAGCCCGGTACACGAGACTGAGATTGATTCAACTTCAATCACAGTTTATACACCTCAGATGAAAGCACTTTTAGAAAAAATGCAGGAAAGAGGTTCCAAAAGTGTTTCTAACACAAAGAAAGTGAAAGAAAATAAAGACAGTGATATTAAATCTAAGGAAGAAAAACCAGTTACTAAATTGCGGCAGTTAAAAAGCAAAGGTACATGTAGTTCATAAACTATATCAAAATTTTGCATATTAGAGAAATTATTTTGATCTTGAGTAATAAAGTAAAAAATTATTTTATGTTGCGGATACGGTAGGAAGGAAAGAAATAGGCAAAAAGGCAAAAGAAGAATGTGATTCAGTTGAAGCTATACCTACAAGGCAGAGTCTGAAGCCTATGAAAAAAAATTTGGGAAAGGAGCGCATGGGAAAATTAAGAAAAAACCTGGCAGCAACTATTACTGATGGTAAAAATTTGGGTAGTAGTTGTGTATCCATAATTTCTTCTGCAATACATAAACAGAGTAAGTATTGTAATATTCTTTCTCATATTATGACTCAAATATTATTTTATGATTTAATTTTTGGGATGATTATGTTAGGAAGATATACAAATATTTGTAAAAATGCGGAAGTTAGATTGACACGTTTAAAGGACAAACTTTCAAAGGACGCGACTTCCAGTAATAAGGAAGATCATCGTTCTTCCAGTCCACAAAATAAGAAATGTACGGAACCTAAAGAAACGCTTGAGCCTGTATCGAGTGTAACAGTGATAGATGAATTAGTAAGTCGATCGAACAGGGATGCTCTGTATGAAGAGATGGATTGGGAACCATTGGAAGATGAAAAAATTTCGCATGAAGTAATATTAATTAATCACTAAAATTAAATATATTGATAGAATGCAAAATTTGGAGTCAACAATTGTTGTCTTTCTTAGGTCCAGGCTGTTAGAACGCAACTTTGTACAGAGAATAGTACAAATACATCATATAACATACCCAGTAATATGTTAAAATATCCATTACTTGTCGAGCAACAAGAAAAACGGCAAGTATACATTGTTGTCGATACAAATGTATTTTTGTCAAATATTGAGATTATTGATTTGGTACAAGAAACTACTTTAAAAACTTATGATCGATCGCTGATTGTAATACCGTGGACGGTTATACGCGTAAGTAATTGATTAAGATAGATACTACATATTTGATACAAACATTTCATTTATTTATAAACCTTTCACTGTAGGAGCTTGATTATATTAAAGATGACCATGGTAAAACAAAGCCAGCATTGCTTTGCTATAAAGCGAGAAAAGCTGTAAATTATATTAACAAGCTTTTTTCTTCTAAAAATCCACGTGTAATTGGTCAAACGCCGGAAGATGTTGTGAAAAATAAAGAAAAGTTTTCCGTTGATTGTCCAGATGATGAAATTCTACAGACCTGTTTGCAAATTCGTGACTTGGGAAAGTCAGTGGTAAGTTATTAATTATATGACATATATATATACTTCAATCAATAAATACAATTGTTCTTTAACCTAGGTTTTACTATCGTACGATATTAATCTTTGTACTAAAGCGATGATTCATGATATTGTCACAATTGGACGTAATGACCCTCTTGAAAAAATTGACTACCTCAATGCCACTAATTATTTTAACGGGCCGTCTAAATCAGTCAATCAAGACAGAGAAAGATTGGGTTTAGGATCTACTTCGATTTTGAGTACTAAATTATTTATAGCGGATGAGATGATTGAGGATACAAAAAGTGTTATGAGAGACTTCTTAACAGTGGCAAGTACAAATATAATATGCGATAAGAAAGAAATAACGCGTAAGAATTAATAGAAAACATTTTGCAGATAGTTAGCAAAGAAATGCATACATTATACGGAGACTCTTGGGAAAAGTATGTTATCGTCAAACCTCCTTGGACAATAGTAACCGTTTTACAGTGTGCTATAAAACACTGGATAGCTGCTGTAAGCGAGTCATTTATAAGGAGAGCAGAAGTTGATTTAAAAGAATTGTTACAAATATTTAAAGATACATCTGGTAAGTTCATCAACTTTCATTGAATAACATAGTAATTAGAAAAAATGATTACTAATGCAAAAATATTCTTCTAGGAAAGAAAAGCTTAAAACAAGTTATTTTTATCTTAAATAAATGTAGCGATTTGGTTCAGATGGTTCACGTGGATAAATATCACGACTTGATGTCACGGGTGTCTAAGAAAGTCAATGTAATTAAAAAATTAACTAAATTTTTCTAATCATATTTTAAAATAATTTCTGTTCATAACTGTATTATTTTTTTTAAAGGAATTGTTGCAAAAATGTTATGATTATGAACTCCAGATAAACGATCAGAAGGTTCGCGATGAAATTGGGGTTGAAAATGATGTTAAAGAGCAAGAACGCAGGGCAGTTAAAGCTTTTCGGTATTTTGAAGCGGCGTATGTTTACGCCCGTGATATGTGGTAAGATATAAAATAAAATTTTCACATTAGACCTATTATTTGTATAAAAATTCTTTTATCGTGTAGCGGTTTGGCAGCTGAAGTTGTAGGAATGCCGTGTACCTTTCACTATAATACTCCAGACCCAGTTCCAGCTGTGGACTATGTAAAACAAATACAACCAGAATTAGCGGCAAACGTAAACCGACTATTATGCAATCTAAGCGCGTAAGTAATTGTACAATCATTTGTCAGACATTGTGTATCAACGTAAAATAACTAATTGTTTTAATTGCAGTGTAATAGAACAAGTTAAAACTTCTCGAATCGATTATCGGACATTAAATAACTTACACGAGACATTGGTATCGTTTCTTCCTGAAGCTATGCCGTCAAAGTTGAAGTTGAACGACGATTTGGCGCCTCTTGACGTCTATTGTTGCGTGAAACTAAAAGAAGAAGTATTAAAAACGGGCTTACGACAATTGCAAGAATTGAGCACGCATTTTTGTAGATTTGCAAGTTATAGATGTACATAAGTATACGCTTCCATTACGTTTTTTTTTTAAAGATTATATAGTTATATGTACAGCTTTCTGTTAAGTAAACCTCCGTACCAGGGACGTACGATGTAACATAACATTTTTTGAGCGTTGGATGATTATATATATTTTTTTCCTGAAAAAGGAAATAATATTTTAAGTGTTTTTATTAACAGGTCTGTATAATACAAGAAGTAACTTTTGTACAAGGTGAAAAATAAAAATGCACAGCCAGCATTGTGATCGGTACTAAATTACTCGTTCCTTGGTGATCTTTTTTTTTTCCTTTCAAATATACACTTCAAGCGTTTCATTCGGTTAATTTAATTTCTGTAAAGTTTAGGAAATCCTCCTGAAGGTGGTTGTAACCAATTCTCCTTTGAATAAGAGACATGCTGCGTGTCAATCACATGAAACGTATAAGCGTGTCTCGACTTGTCACTTTTATTAGGATACGAGAAATGTACTACTTGTCCATGAATGAGAATACACGTTCCTTTACTGACTGGTACAGGTTGAAAATTGCTAAGCTGATAACAGGGTGCAGGTCTGTCGTATGACAACAACTCTTTGGAATCTGGATCTTTGTTTCTTGTATAACGTCGGTGTACTCCACTTTGATGAGAGCCTGGAGCGATCCATAGACATCCATTTTCTTGGGTAGCATCCTCTAAGGCGATCCAGAAACCAACTAGTTTCACTGGATCTGTGTATAGATACGTTGCATCTTGATGCATCACCACTAAACAGGAAAGGTTCAGTTAGATTTTTGGAACAACTAATTCATATTTTATTTACCTTCAGACCCAGTACCCGGATTTTTGTAAATGTACATTGACTGACACACAGCTGGTTCCGCGTAATCTAGTTGGAAAGCTGCTTCTTTTACCCTTTCGTCGAACGTGTACTTCTTGAACGTAGGATGAAGCCAGTGAAGAGCATGACCTACCTAAAATGTTGTCATACAGAACAATCAATTTTCCTTCTGTCTTGGGAGAGAAGCTTTTGTCTTTCCATGTGAAGAACACGAAGAAATAAGACGATATACCGAGTCGCTTCTTGTTCTACGCTTGTTCAAGGAAGCCTAACTGTAAAGATTGAGTGGTACCTTGTTCAGAGATACTCGAGGGTGCACCTTTAGCGTTCCATCGTTCTCTAAAGCTTCAGCCTCGAAGAACAAATTGATTTTATTAGCGCTATCCAGAAAATACTGATCTTTACTCTGGAATAATTTATCAAATGAAAAATTCATACATTGTCATTGTCAGGTGATGGACGATGCTTCATCTAAATTGTTTCTTACTTGCTGCGAATCTACTGAATTGAAAATTTTTCTTTCATTTTCCGGAGGTAGGTTCTTCGTGAACTCTTCGCCGCAAAATTTCAACTCGTCGATCTCCTCCGGTTGAAAGAAGTCCTCCAAAACGACGAAGCCATTCTTCTCGAACTATTCGAAAAGAAAGAACATAAATTAGTAACTTATTTTCATAGTTATTTAAATAATAGTAGATCATTCGATAACGCTCTATTCTGAAAGAACACCCACGCGTGCTTTTCTATTTTTGACCGAACGATTCACGGTAATTCACCTGAATCATCCGCGACAGATCGGGATTCACGGCAGCAGTTTTTTAAAACAAAAAACACTTGATCGAATTTAACAAAAATAGTGGAAAAAAATACATTCGAGCAGGATTTCGTTTTGACTCGAGGGATGGGCAATTGGAAATTTAAGCTACAAAATAAATCTTTCTGGATTCAATTTGTATAGAATGAAAGAGGAATGAAATTCATTGAATAAATAAACTTTTTTAATTGAATTTTTGTTTAACAGTTGCATCGTTATCTTGCCTAATATTATATTAAAATTGACCCTTAGATGTCCATCCCTTTATCCACGAATGAATCATTGTCACGACCCTTATGAATGCAGAATTTCGATGAACCTTGAATCTCTGGTTCGATAAATTATCGAAAAGTTGCAAGAATTTTCGGGGCTCGAATAAAATTGGAAGCGAACCGAGGTTGTTGGAGTTTGTTCGAAAAGTTGAGCGCGAGGAAGTTTGAAATATCCATCACTAGCGGATTTCACAGATCCGTGAGTCTGACTTTCGCGCGGTCCGCTCGTTATGAAGTCGAAAGTAACGAGCAACAGAGTTCACCACCTGAATTGTTCTTTCGCGAGAGACCGTATCCGAAGAACTTTCTCTCCCTCGGACAATTCGCCTTGATAATGGACGTATTAATCGAGGTAGAAGAAGCCGGTAAATATCTCGGTTAAAAAAAGAAGGACGTAGAGAAATATCAAGGGGCCATAGATCAATTCAGCGTGGAATGCTTGCTGGTGATAAATTATCAAATCGGTAGCGGGTCTCTGCCTCTTAGTAAACATCGTTTGCCTAAAAATAAGACGCGTTCTAGTCTCTTCTTGTTGACTGATGACTTTCGCCTACATCCTCGACTTTAAATGATATTTATTTTTATCTTAGCCATGATCTTTATGAAACATCCACCACGCATGTATCATTGTTCTTATTAGGTCGATTTCTGTACTTTCAAATAATTATATTTTCTCCCTGATTATATTGCACAAGTTAATAATTGCTGGGAAATTTAAGACAGCGTAAACAGATTATTGATTACACTGCGAATTCAGGATAATGTAAACAGTCGGAAATTGAGGATAGCGTAAATTTATTATAATAATTCAGCGTGACCGTATAAATTAGATAAAACTAGAGGAAACGAGGCGTTTGAATCTAAGTATTTTTAATTAACCAGACGTGTATGTGGAGCAGAGAATAGCCGTATTAATCCGTAGAAAGCGTGCTTTGTTTTAATTGCTCCTCTATGTTGCGGTCAGATCACAGATCTGTTTAATTTATCAAAATATCTGCCATCGTGATCTACCATAAAAATGAATATTATCTCGTTAATTGAATAAAACTTTCATTTTTCTAACCCGAGTGCAAATCCTGATACATAGTATATTTTTGTTTCATTCAAAATTAAAAACAAAAACAGCTTACATCAATTTGCGTTTCCTGGTGTCGTCTACTGGGGTGGTGATCAATTTTGGATCCCCCTCCCCCAGTGTTACCGATTAAATTAATTTTTATTTTCCTTCGCTAAAAGCATCGAGGATCGCGTGGGTGGGTCAGGAACGAGATTCTGTCATCCAAGTATACGAAGATAATGTGCGTTGGCCTCCCTTGGCCGTTTAATCGTCACCTTAACCGTAATCTAAAAATGGAACCTCCGACTTGACGGCACGGTCGAAAGATGGTCCGTGAGGCGACCACGTGTAAACACTTCGAAATGCCTCAATTTTATAATTAAATACTCCTATCAAATTATACTTCCACGATCATGTACGTTAGATTTAAATTGCTGTAATTAAACATTAATTACACGAAATTTCAAATTTGTTATCGTGTTGATTGAAAATAGAGAACAGCAGTGTGCTGGAAATAAAGCTGAAGATAGCGATAATACAATTAACTGGGTCGACAACAATTCCGTTAATAAACGAATCGACACCGATACGATCGCTCGAAATTATATTATTGGGACAAATAATCAATCAGTCAGTAATACTTTGCTCGAGCGAAGGAGCAAATAAAACAGCGATAATGTCCTCGTTAAATTGTCATGTCAAATGATGGACAACATGGTCGTAAAAAAAAAAAAAAAGAGGAACGAAAACTACGATAAACAAATGAATAGATAATAAATGAAACTGTACTATCGAAAATTTGACGTACATACAAAAATTCGTCTCAAAATAACTTTCTATCAATATCTCTAGCTGCGACGAATCTATAGAAAAAAAAGTAGCTCGATAAATTTTTCTATAATTTTTCATTCTTTCTGTTGTAAATATATATTTATAAAAATTAGAGGGGGTTTATAGCCTATTAAGGGAAAATAGCTGGATAAAATGGTGTTCGAAATGGAACGCTATTAGCATTAAAAGAGAGAGGAGCGGCGAGTAATTAAGCGTTGGCCAGTTTGGCTTCTACATCGAGTGGTTCGGGATGTGGTCCACCGGCAGGAGGATGCTGACCCCATCGAGGCGAGAGGTCGAGCTCGATTATGTCAGTCTTGTTCGATGACGACACCGGCCGTTGGTCCCTCGTCTCTGATTTCGTTGTCTCGTCTTGCCTCGCCGCATCGTGTATCGTTGCTCGCGATTCGTTTTTAGCGAGACCGTATATAGAGTCCGGATCGGTCATCGGATCGTTTAATCGGCACCACGTGTTCGCGACCTTTGTACACGCGAGATTAGGATCGTTTCTTTTCAACGTTTGTCTTTCGCCAGCTAATCGCTTGTAAACAAGCCAACGTTCCAACTTTCAAAATCACTCGTTCCTTTCCTTCCTGCTCTAATTTTTATAATATAATTGACATTCAGAATGAAAATTTTGCTCCGAGTTATTAACGGATGAAAAGATACTGTATCGTTCGTAAATCTTGTAAAGAGAATCGAATAAAAATTCATCCGACGAGCCGCAATACATATAAAATCTCAGAAAGAAAATATAATAAAAATTCCATTTGGTAAGAGAGACATTTAAGTTCAACGCACATCTCGGCAATTATTTAAAAAATTCCGTATAGAAAGAGAGAAAAAGATAAGATTTGTTTGAAAGACAACTGTCAACGAGTTAACTGCCGCGTTCCACGTGGTCGTGGTCGCGCAAACAAGTTTTCGCGGGCTTTGACTTTTGCTCGAGATAAGGTAACGAGGTCAACTATAAACGGTTGTAGCTCACTCACCTGTGATCGGATGTCCTTCATTTTATGTCCGTTACAGCCAGTCTTGGACTGGTCGGTTGTATAGTATACTGAACACGGGCGAGCGAGCCTCGAACACGTCCGTCACCGACTGCGCCTACGAAATGACTAGGTGAGCCGCAGGCGTGTGTGCTCAATCGGGTCGAGTCGTGGGGAGTCGAGTCGAGTCGTCTCGAGTCGTGTTACGTCGGAACGGGTCGAGTCGGGTCGGGTCGAGTCGGAGTCGTGACACGTGAACCCCGCGATCGAGGAAATTTCAAACTGCACTTTCCGACCGGTTGAGTCATCTTTAGTCACTCGATCTGTGAAAACAAATCACGAAATCGTTAAAATTGGATCGTTTTATCGACAAACTGCTTTGCTATAAAGTTCAAACGAGCTGGAATTACTTTCAATGGTGGATTCTATTCCGTTGAATTTAATAATATTTATTAATTAATTATATCTGTGCAATTCAATGTAAACTCTTCGTATATGAAATATTTTGTATTCTACAAATTAAATTGAAACAGGTTGAAGTTTTAATTTGAGGTCTGATCGTTTAAACGATTAACAAACTTTTCAAACCAAATTTATCTTTCCATTATTCCTGAAATGATTTGTGCATTTCGTTTTAATTGAGATAGTTGCGTACAATTGCTCATCCCAGCTTTTTCGTAACTTATGATTCGCGTTTATATTTAAATTCTGATTCAAACTAGTGAAACGGTCCACTGTCAAATTGCAGTCTGACATTTTTAAGATGCCTCTGTACAATTTCACGTATCATCATCTCAGTTAATATCGTTTTAAATTCTCAATTTTTATGAAATATTTTCCCCACACGCATTCATTAACTCCTACGTGTTATTCAATTTGAAACGTTCTAATTTGTTTTAATTTGCATACATTTAATATCCTTATTACTTTTCTATTATTATCGTATTATTATTTCATTATCACCATTTTAAACGATATTTATCTTTTTACTAATTGATCGTCCCATTTAAGTTTCATACGGGTTTTAATTAAATTCCATCTTATTATTTACAATTTTAAAATTCAATAAAGTCAAAGTAAAATATTTCATGCACGTAACTTTTTGGCATTAACGAGTTAACTAAAATTATCGCATTTTTCCTTCCGTTCTTATTCTTTCATGTAAATGAAAAGACTATGGGCGTTAGTCCCTCGAGTTCGAGGTCTCTCAATGGCCACCAGAGAGATAGACAGATAAAGTCGCGAACAGTCGAGCTGGAAAGTTCGTTTCTCCTGACTCGTTAATATGTTAATATTACGAGGAAAAATCTTATTTTATCGGCCAACTCGACCGAGGGATTTTGTTGTCACAGAAAGAAGCGTAAACGGTTATTGCAAGAAGATAAAAACACCCGGTGAAGAGAGCGTTGCTTTTTCAACCCTTTCTTTTGTCCACTATCAGAAATTCCAAACAGGTAATTATCTTTTTCTCTTAACGCTCGTATTAAAGATTTGATCTACGAGCCTGTACTTTGCTAAGAACGAATCATTCTTCAAGGCTCTTGCGCGTGGGTTCGTAATCGTCATCGGTTTGCAATTCAAGCATTGAGAATTTCAAAAACAGAGAGTTAATCATTGGAACAGCATCTTCTGGTATATGTTTCCAGTGATCAGTTCCGAAAATACATCCAATTTATTGGCATTCCGTTGCATTCTCTTCAAAAATATGCATTAAAACATCGAGTATAGCCACCAAGGAACGAAAAGTTTAATCTTTCACTGTATTGTTTCGGTATGTTGTTATTCTACATTATTAATGTAACATTAACGGTGCTCAAAGCTTGTAATTGAATTAAATTCGTGGTGCCGGTTGCCGGTGCCGACCACAGCTCAATATACCGTGTAAACAATTTAATCAATCTCTATCCTTGCATAAATATACAAATTGCATGAAAATTCATATTACCAAAGCAAAACAGTATCCATCAATGCGGCGTATTAACTGAAAAGAGAGAAACGATCAATTTTCATCGTGTTTTCTCTTCAGCCCTTATTACAACTCCATCGAAATAACAAAATTCTTCGAAAGTATGATCATTTCTTAAGACGGGCTTATAAAAGTAGGCCTAAATAGATCATCGAGGGTTAACCCAGGCCTTCGTTTCGGAGACCAGGTAGATCACGCTCGTTGCGACAGCAAACGAGGAAGGCCGCACAGAATAAACGGAAATAAAGTCTGTGAGAATGGTGACGGGTGCCATTTGACTGTTGGCCAAACCGTGTTGGGTCGACTTAGTTTCTTTTTAGACCGTAAGCCTTAGCTGGTGCAGCATTATTGCGCCATTAATGCCGGGTCGCAAAACGAAATGCAACCCCTTTAGGGGTTGCGAGGCCCGATAATCCGGCTAACCTGAGTCGAGTTTGTTGGTGGACTGCCAGGTGTACTCTTTTCGGCCTAAACTCACTCTATATACGAGTTGTTAGCGAGATTCTAGACTATGATACTTAAGGCTCCCAATTATTGCTTTCCATCTCTTACTGTACCAAGTTACGAGCCGACGAAAAGAGGCGATACAAATGAGACGAGCAGGGAAGGTGTGGGAGTTGAACTAATTATTCAAATTAGCCTGTCGGCTGGTAACACGATTTCTGGATTATATTTATTCACCGAGAAGCATGGGAAGAGCGGGGTGTTTGCCGGGTGATCTTCATTAGGTAGCGGGTACTCCGGTGACAAAATCGAGCGGACACGTGGAAAATTTTCAAATCGTCCCGGAAAATCAGATTTTCCTCGGCGTTTGAGCGAGCTATTTATATGACAGGAGGGTTTTTTATTTGAAGAGGTTTCACGCGCGATTTTGTTTAACCCGATTTACGATTTCTAGCGATGCGGTAAACGGAACGAAGAGAAGAGGCGAGGGAACGGTGGTGGAATTTAACGAACTGCGACCGGATTTGGTGTCTGTTTGTACGGCAAACGAGGGATCGTCAAGCGGATGAATTCGAATGGCAACGAAACGGACATCGAGCATGCATCGTGCCTGGAAAAATTCATTGGGCTGCCTTTTTTTTTTTTTTCATATATTTTCTATCAGTAATTTCGCACCTTTCAAAGATAATCTCTGTTAGGTATGAAAAGAAAAGAAGTGAAATCGCGAGAGCTATAACGAAGCAAAGTGTAAACTATAACAAAGAAATTAGTGCGATAAGTAGTAAAGTTAGAGAGAGGGATAAGTTTTGTTCAACGTATCTAGATTGCAAATATTTTCCTTAAGAGACTTTTGCCGAGAGTTTCGACGGGAAATGATTATCAACTTTCAAGCAAAGGATAGGAAGGAAAGAAGAAGCATAACGCAATGAGAGGCAGTTGTTCTGTCGCGTTTACGAGCATCTACTTTGAAAAGTTTCCAGTCTCGGAATGAATAAAACAATCAGGTAAGCACGCCGGAGCAGAGAATGATTAATCAACGACAATCGCGAACGTCTTCGGGAAGAATTTTCTGGGTTAAACGTGAAAGATTGAGACAAGTGAAACGAATGAAACGAGCCATTTAAGTTAACGCCTTTAATGGAATAGTAGAAACAGCCATTTCTTATACGGGATACAATAATACACATAGATCATGGATCATTAGGAATATTAAAAGTTAATTTTTTAATTTAATATCGTCGAGTTGGATAAGCACGCGTATAAAGAATGTTCTTTCCAATCGATATCTACTCTCTGATTTCGTTATCTTCCGATTCGAAAGAAGAAATGCTTATCTTTCAATCTCTTTTAAACCGGAACAAATAGAATCTTTGCCTTGGGAATAGCTTGTTGCCATTATTTCCATACGAACGATAGAAATATTTACGGAAGTATCGAGAATATATTCCGTGTTTGGACTGATAGTTTCCTTGAATATCTACGATACGTGACTTTGTTTGCAAGGATTTTTGATAAGATATTGCAAACACTCATAGAAGAATTTCTAAAAAGATGTGTTCTTTGTTTCGTTAATCAGAAGAGTCAAAATTAATATTTCCAAATTAGAAGTAATCAGAATTGTAATTCATTTTCAATATAAAGAAAAAAAAAAACACAATTATCTTTACCTACGTGTCATCAGTAACCATGGTTGGTCGTTTATCTAAAGAAACGATGATTTTCGATCAGCGTACACCACGCGTTGTCTTTTGACCCCAGATTAAATTAACGGTAGTCAGTTGGATTGACCTCTGGGTCATTGGTACGATAGGAAGCAGCACGTGTAACGCATTTTACGCTCTTACTCTTACTCCTCTTATTTCTTCGTCTATTTTTTTTCTTTTTTTTTTTATTCCTTCGTTGGTTCACACGATATAGAAGCTCCATCGTAATCGCGTTCATTGGATCCTTCGAAATTACGACATCGATTTGGAATTTCCTACACGCTGGATGAATCTGAAATTTCTGCTTTACGATGGAACTCGATGGAAACTCGTTACACCAGCTGAAATAACATAATTTCACTTGTCCCACGGTATGGATCGATTTCGATTAAAGTTAGCCGATTCATTTTTCTTTGCTTCGATATTTATGATAATCGAAGCTAGAGTCAAATATTCTGGCATTATGTTTTAGACGAAGAAAAGATTAAATACGTATCAGTTTTGGGAATAATCCAGTTTGAAGATTTTTTTCTGTAGTCCGAAAATTAGCTGGTAATCGGTAGGATCGGTTCAAAAGGACGTTACGATAGCGTTCTGAATCATAGTTCTCGATGAGATTGAAATGTTGGGACGTGGTGTGGATAGAGAAGAACCTCGTGGTAGGGACCTGGAACCAGCTGTTCTAATCTCTTTCGACTGGGCATATCGCGAGTTAAACCGCGGTAGTAGTACGCTCGACGTCAGCGTGGACGTTCGACGTTTCCTCTCGAGTCAGTATTCTTCTTCTTTTCCTTGAAATTCACACGGTGCAAATCAGTTTTCGAGTGATTTCTTAGCATGGACTTGATACCTTTGGGAAACGAGAAGGGATACTTGTGCGCGGTGAATTAATCGCGTTGAATCGTTTTGGTAAGAAATAATAATTGTTAATTATTATTATAATTTGAAATGAAGAAAATTAAAGTCATCAAATTCAGGTCGCTAAGAAATAAAAAGCATGAAAATCCAGGACCAATGTAACATTCGCTAAGCTTAGAGAGACGCCGCCGCGCTGGGTTATTTTTCTGACCCCAAATCGACAAGCTCGGCACGGAATGCCGCACACGAGGCCCGATTAAAAAGTGTTCTCTCGATAAGACTCGTGGAAAAGTTCGTGTTCCTTAACCTCCTTGTTGCATTTCTATTAAGTGCGTCGGCTCGACGGAGTCTGGTTCAGAACAGAGCGGGAAAAACGCTGATTCAATTTACTTTTCATTCGACGCGAGACCAAAAACAATTTTGAAATTCCTTCGACGTCCACCGTTTTCGCGTTCAATCAGCCCGCAATTTATTCCTTTTTATTCAGCCGATTACTATTCCGGTATTGTAGAAAAATAAAGGAGACGGGGAATGAAAAAAAAAATATATATATATACGGCAATGTGATGAACATAATTTAGCGAGGATTTGTAGACGTTCAGGAGAGGAGGGTTCGCGAGAGAGGAGCTTCCTTTTTAATTGGTAGATACTGCGTGGAAAATTGGGATCTAGTGTTATTAGTAGAGCTAGAGGATTTATTAATTAGGCTCTTATTTAAGAATTTATAGCCGCTTTATATCTTCCCGTGAACGAGTTCTACACTCCCCTTGCATGGAATATTCTCTTTAAGGGTGGTATTTTTCCAGACGCTTTAAAAAAAAAAAATAATATTCATAGGGTTTGAAAGTAACGTTATTTAAATACTTTATCCGAAGTTTGTTTACTCTTCACTTTTTTTCCAATAACTCGATTACGTAAAATTTGAGAGTTTGGTCACCGGTGACCCCCACGGTGGCCGAACGTGTTAATCGCTCGGTGTAAGCGCATCTCGCTAATTGTTTATATCGGAATGGTAGCCCGATATAATTTCATCGCGTCGCGACGTATTTTATACGTGGGCGAGTGTATAAATAGTATGTCGTGCCGATAACCCGTCGTCTCTTTCCCTTTCTCTCCATCTCATTCTTTCTTCGATGATCGAACAACTCTTGTCCGCGTTCTGATCGCACTCTGCTCACCCTACTACTACTCTCATCGTTATTCTTACTATTTGATCAACAAAACCGATCTATTAGCCGGTTCTGCTATTAAAAGAACTTTCAATTCTTCCTTTTCCATCGTGAATTCGAATGATCCTTCATCGACAAACGATGACCACGTCATTAAAGCAATTAGAACGATCGATCGTCTAACGTTGTAGAGGGAATGCTGTTAATGGCATTATTACGGTAACAGGGTGGCAATGATGTAAGGCGGCGTAGAGCAATCTGTCGGTGTAGAAACTGCACGCTTCTCAGCGTGAAATCAGTTGGCGTGCAACTAGCTCGCCTCCTTCCACGCGAGTTCCACCTGCATATATACGCGTACAGAAAGCTTGACATACCCGACGACACAGAGGCTGGCACGATTAAATGATGACGATTCCCTTGCAAACAGCAACGGCCCTCCGGCACGCTAAACACCCGACGAAACTCGACGCTTCCGATTTCAAAAGGGAAATTCAGAACCGTCAGCTACGTAATATTGTTCCCTGTTTTCAACTCGAACCGTGATAAATTGATCAGCGACACGATTCTACGTAAGTTTCTCTTTCATAAGTTTCTTTCTTATTTAGGAGAACGGAATAAAATTATTTTCATGATAATTTTCAAAATTTTTCGTTAGGTATCTTGAATTTCATCGACGAAGTAATGGCAATTATAGCGCGTCTGACCATACGCAGACTTTTCCACTGCGCCCCTTAACGTATTAATTTAGAAGCGGGAATCAAAACAGAGGGTTCGTAAAAATTGTTTGCCTGTTGAAGAATTTAGATCTGATTTTAGTGGTACAAAGCAAAATTGAATCACACCACTGTTCCTCAATTAAAAATACCATGGTTTCGAATCTGGATGATGTGGAACGCGACGATTCGATATCTAAACTCATGCAGACTTATTAATACGAATCTCTTTTTATCGACTACGTGACGCTTCCTCCTCGTCGCTGGCGGATCGCTCGTAAACACGAGCTTGTTATTCAAGGAATATCCCCGTCAGATAGAACGGCAGGTTTCCCTTTACCAAGATGTTGATTTTTCTATCGAACGGCAGCCTTCTTATCCTTACGAATATTACTCGAAAGGATTTCATTAGAAACTGTTGATTTAATCGACTCGCTGCTAGTTGATGAGAAGCGAAAAATGGGGAAAGGGTTGGAAAATTATCAATTTTACCATCTTTGATTGGTAATCATAGACGTGTCGTAACAACGGGAAACGGGTACCGTTCTACTCGGTTGACTGGTAAACAGAATCATTATGTCATCTACAACTGACCGACACGATAAAACGACGACAATGTTACCCAGAGCTCTGTTTGTCGCTCACGTGTCGACCTTTCTCCCTTCGTGTGTAAATTATTTTCGTTCCTGTTTAACCGGCAAGATTTTCTACATCATCAAATACTTCGATCGTATATTTCGTGAATTAAAAAATTCTTCGCTCGGACGAGATAGCGATTTAGGGTAGAGAACGATTTAACGATCGAAGGGGGTCAACGGTGCTTGCAGACGAAACGACTCGTTTCCCCATCCCATTTTCCTACGATCTATCTATGCTGTACCACATTGGCTGCGATAACCAGCGAATTATCATTGTTAACCAGCTATTAGCGGCTCGGTGTCGTTGCATTAGCGTATCGTCTAGCCTGCATTTATTTGAACACCGTGTCGGCTCGCAGTTTAATTGCCGGAATTAATAAAGGATCGCGAGCCAACGATCGTCCTCGGTTTACGCAACAATTAAATGATGCTCGAGTAATCATTAAAATTTGCAGAGAAAGAAAAAGTATCCTAATACATCGTTATCTTTATCTCGCACGATTACTTCCGAACCATAGCGTTAACGATCAACCATAGAAAAATAAAAATAAGAGAAAGAATATATATATATATATAAAGAAAAAAGTTTTTCTTTCTAATCAAGCACGGACAAATAGAGTTAACAAGGACAGGGTGGAAGGAAATTCTGCAGCCGCAATATCGTAACGTTATTAAGAGTGATCATCGACGTTGCAGAACTTTTCCGCAGACGCGAGGCAACTTTTCCGCGGACAATGGGAACAATGAGGAACAATTTCGCGACGGTCTTTGTGCTTCTCCTCCTGATGCTCTCAACGAGTCAATCTCTTCCTCACGGCTACGAAAATTCCTCCAAGAGAAACAGTTTGGCCGACGATTTAACCTCGGATGATCGAACGGCCTTGTATCCGATTTACAACTGCCTCTTCGTCGATCCGGATCTACCGATCTGTGACGTGGAATTGTGAGTTGTCCGAATTGAATTTCTAAGATCTATAGAATTTCAATTGAGAAAATTTCTTCGTTTTTTAGGATGTTGAATTCGGACGAGAAGACGACAGAACGGACGAATGATCAATATTTCGACAAAGATCTTGTGACACGCTCGAGGAGAAACGCCGACGTTTCAGCGACGGCACGCGTCGTAGTTTACGCGATAGAGGGTTGTGTGCCAGCTAGGTAAGATATATTTCTCTTTTCTATTCTCCAATAATTAAGGGATCGTCGTCCGACAGGTTACCCTTTTCGTTACCCTCCTGCAACGGAATTTCCTTGAACAACATCGTCGATGTGAGGAGACTACGACCGTTTGCTGTGAAGGGTATGACACAACCTCCCTATGTGTTTCCAAAATTCAATTATTCCAAATGGATACGAATGATGGCGCGATTACACAGTCGCGTTTCGTCGAAGAAACAAGACGTGAGTGGTTCAGTTTTGTCAAATAATTAAGACACTGTTCATTCATTAGATATTCAATGTTTCGTTCCAGGAAGAAGAAAGTAGCATTCCTAAAGAGATATCCGCTGAAAATTCTTTGGAGGATCGTAGAGAAGAGCTGAGGATTATGCCGAAAGGGTCAGCGCCGACCCACGGTACCAGAAAATCGGAAGTGGACGAGTCAAGAGAGTCTTCCGCTTCATCAAGCGTCGAAAATATTAATAACGATTCACAAATTACGTTAACGACGAAGTCTGAGAATTTTTCAAGCAAGAAAAATTCCCAAAAAATCGAGAAGATGAATAAACGAAGGGGAGATGCTTGGAAAGGAAGCAAGGATCAAAATGAAGGTGTAGTGAGGAGTTTCCAAAGGAGACGAAGAGAGATAAGGTTGTCTGGCAATGGTTTGATGCAGGGAATTCCTGACGAATCTAAGGCACAAGGAATTGCTGGTAAATCAATTGCACAGCGATTTCAGAGCAACGGAGAAACGGACCAATTAAATATTTCTAATGAACAGAGGAAGCATTCGATTTCGACGACAGAAATCCCAGGCCTCGATACGGAAAATCGTGGGACAAAATCGAGATTCGATGATCCTAGTTTCAAAATTGATATGGCCAGCAGAAAATCATCGTGGAGAAGAGGAATGATGAAAGACGCAGCTTTGGGAAAGAAACATAAAATTTACTCGGAATTGTCAGCCTCCGCGAGTCAATAAAAGAATCGAAACGTTTCTTAAAATAAGATCGGCGAGGAAGGTGAATCGCAATTTGAAACCTCCGTATAGACTCGAAGAATCCTGGAATCGCGAAATGTTTCATTTTATAATGAAAATACAGGGATTTTCGGAAAAACCACCGAAACGCGAGCGATTAACAAATTCAGAGGGAAAATTTCGCGATTCCAACGAAAAACTCTCACGACGAAGTTAATATAACTTTTAAATTAGTTGCTCGAACGAAACGTCAACGCGATTACGTTCGTAAAATTTCACAGATAAAAGCTCGCGAATAACAATGTACTCTGTGTGGGTGTGCGTATGAGAATGCGTGTATGTGAGTGTATGTATTTAATCCTGTCGCAGCAAAGTTTGTACACAGAGGCGTTCGAAAAATGGCCAACCATTTGCTAAAAGTGCAAACGTATTTCATGGCACACGATCATTTCTATCATCATTTATACAATGTGTCTGCACCATATGCATACCATTTCATTATTCCTTAAACCATTGAAAAAAAAAAGAAGAAAAAAATAGTTCACGCTAGATTACACAAAATTTGTGAAAAATTATTTCGACGGTAGTTTTATTTTTTTGAATGGTACCACAGCGAAAGGGTTAATTAACGAGATTAAAAGTAGGAGTAATTAGTAGCAAGCGTGTTTTTGATCCTGATTCCCATTAACATATATGTATCTTCGTTTATCTCAGGAGACGAAAAACGCAAATATATAAAACGACGATTTATCACGGAATTGATAAGCTTTATTTAAATAAAGAACGCCAATTACACATGTGATACATAAGCTAAGATGTTAAGTAAGGTATAGACAATTATATGCGATTATCTACTGACAGGAATAGAGTAGCTTTAAGTTATCGAGTCTCGAGAATAATTATACTTTGACATCATAATTTTTATTTACTACTGTATGTAATAAACGTAAATAAACGACTTTAATAACCTAAATAATGAGCACCTGTTGAACATGAATGTACAAAGTAAAAAAATGTAGAACATAATTAATGATGAATTACCATCGATAATCTTACATCTACGATAATCCAATATAGAAAATTTCAACCTAGTTCAGTCGGATAAAGAAACGCTGAAGATTGAATTAGACTTCAAGTACCCTAAGTATCTAAGATTGAGTCCTATTATCCTAGGTAGCTTAATTGGAAAATTGGAAAATTGGAAAATTGGAAAATTGAAATTGCAACACTATCAAGCTGATATCGAGACCTTCCTATTTGAATCCTATGATCTATCATTCTTTATCATTTCCATCCCCTTATCGAATCCTGATTCGACAGGATTTTCAAATGAACCAGGCGTTTCAGTCACTTTCACCTCTGACTTTTCAAAGCTATCCATCAAAGATTTACGCAAATTCTCTTTAACCATTGACTTGGTATCCAAAGTGTCTTCACCATTGTCAGTTGACAGCTCTGGTTCCGTCGCGGCACCATTATCCTCCGTTCTGAAAGGGTTATTCAAACCTGAGCCTCCATCCTTCTTCAACCCCGAAGAATCCTCCGTTTTCTGTTCAGACGGTCTTCGTAAAATATTCTGAAGTGTCTGCACGATTTTCGACTTCTCAGTTTTATTCACAATATCACGAATCGTCTGAAAGATTCGGCGTTCCTTCGTCGAAGGATTGTTTTTGGAAAGTTGCGAACCACCCTCTGGCATCCACAAGGTCTCGATCGCGTCGCTTCCAGATTCCTGCGACAGCTCTACCGATAGTTCTGCTTTCACAGATTGATCGCTAACAGGCTTCTGCGATGCTTTCCCGAAGAAATTGAGTTTCGATGGCGCAAGATTGCTTATAACTCCGGGCTTACGAACTTCCTCCAACTTGGTCGTCGCTATCGTCGGGCTGCTATCTTCGAGTACGAACCTGGTGGACAATTCCTCGTTACTCGGATCCCTGATGATGATCTGAGGTTTCGATGCCCCTTCCTCGATCGATTCCGAAGATTTATCGGTCACACTGCTGAAACTTTGATGCGCGTTGTCGTTGAACGACCCTTTTGTAGGTTTTACGTAATCGATCACCGGTTTCTCAGCAATGGAGATGGTCAAAGAAGGTTTCGATTGGAAGACCGGCTTTGTAGGTTGCAGAGAACCTCGATGATTTTGGCACAAAGGAATACCGATGTCTGGGACACAACCGTAAGCTACCAAAGTGGCAGTCATAGGTGAATTCAGGACTTTCGTCACATAAATTTGTTGTACTCTCTTTTTCTCCCTAATCAAGGACAGTAATTTACCATCTCTGACCTTCTTCTCTTCATCCTCCGTTAATTCAGAGATCGGAGGAGTTGCTTCTTCATCGTTCACCAGAAATTCTTTGCCAATCAATTGTTCGTAATCATTCTGAAATTTTTTGATCTCCTGCATGCAAGAAGACACTCCTTCGGCAGGCATCAAACAGACTGGTTGACGCCATCTAATCATTTCGACCAATTGAGCCTCTTCCGTTGTCTTCGATGGTTTGCCGATCCACAAAAACCGACCAAAATCCAGAGCAAACGAATCACTGACGATAGTTAGAAGAATTATTGCTTCTGTTATTAGATTCATGATGAAAGACACCGAGATTACGGTAGATGAAAGGATGTTCGGGGCAGAGATGATCAGTTTCACTGACTTTAAATGCACCAGGTGATCCTCGAGGAGGTCGACGTTGAACTAAAGCGTTTTCGAATGGGTCCAGGCCATTTATAGGAGGAAAATTACCACCACTGACACAAGTGGAAAGGAAAATGTGTGAGTACCGTCTGGAGGGTTCCATTTTCTCGACCAACAACCGGAAGACCTTTAGTCAGGTACCGTTGACGATTGTTCGGGCGATTAGAAGGGACGGCGAACGCATTCGAGGTAAAACCGATTTTGATGCACTTACCAGGACCGACTAATGCCACGTTAATTGCCCTCGAGGGTCTCGGTGCTTAATTGTAGAATACTAGATAGAGGAGAGTGCATTTTTCGAATACTTTTTTATCGTTTCCGTTGATATTTTAATTTTTTAATTAACAGATATGGAAGATAATTTTAATTGCACCTATCTGCTAATGCAGTTTAATGCACTTGCTTGCACGGCTGTTTCGAAGCGCCTGAAGTCACGCAACTTTGTTGGGAGCGTGCTGCGGTATTGCATACACTCAGGGAGCGCGAACTTCAATATTCATTAAATATGCATTTTTCGAATGCTTTTTTATCATCTTTGTTGATATTTTAATTTTTTAATTAAGGGATATGGAAGATAATTTTAATTGCAACTATCTGCTAATGCAATTCAATGCACTTGGTTGCATGGCATGTTTGAAGCGCCTGAAGACACGCAACTTTGTTCAGAGCGTGGTCCGGTGTTGCATACATTCAGGGAGCGCGAACTTCAATATTCATTAAATATTTATAGATCTAAATATTCATTAAACGTTGAGATTGAATATCTTTCATTCGCTTTACGCGAAAATTGGAAATTACGTGCAAAAGACATTTACCATAAAAGATCAAATAAATAAAGTTATTCCCATATCATCTTAGATCAGCAAATCTTTAACTGGTCCTATTTCACAAAACCTCCCTCTAATACCTTTATCCCTCAAAAGGAACAACATTCCTTTCCAGTATCCCTAACAATACTCCAAAAAAACCCTCCACGCCCATCGGCCATTTAAATTCTCTCGCTGAACTAGCGACCATACCTTCTCCCAGGTACCAGGATCGAGCAGGGTTGGAGTTCCCCAAAAATCTTCGACGAAACGAATAAAAAGGCGGGAAGAGAGCGGAGAGGAAGGAGGAAGTCGGGCACACCTGAGCCGGATTCCTGCTAGGCATTAACCTGGACGATGGAAGGGGCTTGGGCCAGCATAACAAGAGACTCGATGAAAAAGAGAGGGGTCTAGAAGGACGCGGAGGTGGAGAGAAGGCCCGACAGCGGAGGCTGCGGTTAGAAAGCCTTAAGTCGGATCCACAGTGTCCTGGCGGTATTCGCGGTGGCTGCATACCACCTGACCATCAACGCTGAACCATACACACAACCTGTCCGGCATGCATGGTAGCCGCGTACTCACAGTGCCGTACGCTTGACCGACTGGTACCAGTACGGTACCAGTTGCCCTGCAGCTTGCCAGCTGCACGAGTCGCGCGTGCTTCGACCAATACGTACGTCCAAGTTCGCTACGTTTGTTTTGGCGGACTGGTAAATGGTCCGGTTGACGAGGAAACTGGGAAATCGCTTGGTTGGGAACTCGGAGGACTTTCGACAGTATTTCGAGACGGAGGTACGTGTGCATCGTGAACTTGAAGTAGTGGTAGCGGGTTTGATAGACATCAAGGTTGAACTTGAATTTCTGATAGACCAACGAGATACCAAGGATTTTAGGGCGTAAGGGACATCGAGTGATAAATTCGAATTAATGTGACATTGGGTGGCTACAGTAGGGAATGGTACCTCGAGGATCTGATTCGTTTGATTCCGGTGCCATGGTTGTTCTATATTTTCGAAGGAATTTATTGAAGGGGTTTGGGAGGATTTTAGGATGTAAAGAGCGTTCGAGTGATAAGCTTGAATTAGTGTGACGTTGGGCGGTTGGAACAGGGAATGGTACCTCGAAGACCTGCTCGATTTGGGCCTGATACTTCTTTGAAATTTATTACTTTTGTGGTGTAATACTAAAGGATGTTTGCAACTTAAATCACGATTTCAATCGGTGCTGATCATTATACTCGCTAGATTTGGGTGTGTCAGAAAAACTTTCGCATGTTGGAAACTCCTGAATACAATTCATGGAAGATCTTGACTTCCGGGCGGGTTATAAATTTCGCTTGAAAACTTCTCGCCTACCGTGAACCGTAAAATCGATGACGTTTGTATCCGAATAACTTCTCGGACCATCGAAGGAATTCCAAGCTAGCATTGTAAAACGTTCACCGGCATGAGATCACGGTTGATCGCGTTACGTAACAGCTTCTTCTGTCAAAAATCTACTGTTTCGGTGCTTGCACGTGCAACTTTCGATGCACGATTTAAGAGAGTTAGAAAGTGCAACGGGACCATTATTCCGACTTCTTTCTTCCTTTCTATTATTACGATTCGCGTGCACATCGGAGTGTGCCCACGCGTGTTAGAACGGTCAGCTCTTTGGATAATTCCCGCTCGCGTGAGACTAATTCTCCTTGTTTCCGGAAAAAAATCAACCCTTTTATTTACCGATCGAAACTCCGAGTGGTCGTTTCTATTTGATTGTTGCAAGTGAAGCGATCAACTCTGAATCACTGCTTGATATAAATGTCAACCAGTCGTTCTGTATTCAAAATATTAATGAAAGGTCAGAGTAGCTATATTTTTCGTCCTTGATACTTTAAATTAACGCGACACAGGTATTATTTTCTGACACTTTTATGTCACGAAATTGTATGAGAATCGTTTACGGAGTAGTTCGAGTGGCATCGCAAAGCGTATACCGTCGCGAAGGCGTTAAAATTCCGGAGTTTAAAGAGGAGGACAGGAAAACGACAGGGAACAGATGCAGATAAGATAGTT